CGTCCCACACTTCACTCTGCCGCATTCCGGGGGCTGATGCAAGTCCGAGGGGAGAAGACATAGTGTCCACCTGCTAATAAGGGGTGCCACAAAGTCACAGCATAGAGGGGCGTGTGGGTGGGAGGGACGGTGGCCATCGGTTTTGGCAACAGCTGGCCACGACATTCATTTGAGAAATAAACTTGCGATGAAAATATCTTCAGTGTTTTTTTTTTTTAATTTTTTTATTTATTTGTTTATTTATTTATTTATGATAGTCACAGAGAGATAGAGATAGAGAGAGAGAGGCAGAGACACAGGCAGAGGGAGAAGCAGGCTCCATGCAACGGGAGCCTGACGTGGGATTCGATCCCAGGTCTCCAGGATCGCGCCCTGGGCCAAAGGTAAGCGCCAAACCGCTGCACCACCCAGGGATCCCCTTCAGTGTTTTTTTTTTAACTGCTCAGTGAATGTTAATTAAAAGAGAAAAAATTATCCTAAGTGAACATTCTACTTTATTCTTTGATTACACACATGGACATTTAGTATGAGTAAATGACAAGACACTGTTCCACAGAAAGGGAAAACGAAAATCACCTGCAATCTCCTTCCCTAAAAAGGAGAGGCAGTGGGTCATTCTGCAGAGTCCTGGACTGGCAAGTCAACCCAGGAACCCCTTTTCTGATGATTAAACTCCTTAAAAGATGTATTGCCCCCCCCCCGAATAATCATGGGAATCCATGAATGGAACCCAAGATGTTATTGGTACAGGGAGGAATGTCAAGTTTAAATCTAGTTTCCTGCGTGTCTGCTGTGTGTCTGGCAGGATGCTGGGCTCCTGCTCCCCGGTCGCTCACAGCGGATCGGGAGACAGACAGATGGGTGAACAGAGAATTTCAGCTCCGTGTGGTGGGAGTTGGAGCAGAGGGGGCGCTGGGAAGGGGCAGGAGGGGAGACAGGAGGAGAAAGAGGACAAGTCGCTCCTGTGCGCGATGACCCCCGCGGGATGGGCTGGTGCACCAGGACCAGAAGGAAAAGGGGAAATGCATGAACAGATGCAGGCAGGTGGATGATAGGTTTATACGAGGACTTTTGACATCAGGTGGCGTGTCCCAGCATTTAGTGTTCCTTATTTGCAGATGGGCACTTGATCCTTTTGTACAACCCATTTTGTACCACAAGTACCCGAAACCACAGGAAACAGCTCAGCCTAATAAATTATTATAAGGTGAATTTGCTTGTAATTGCCTCCCCCGAGGACAGGAGAGAGATCCTCACCAGCCGTGCAGAGCCCTCCACGCACTGCTCCCAGGCCAGCCTCCCAGCCTCCCCCAAGCCAGTACCCTGGCGTCTAGGGCAACAGGTGCCTCTGCGGCACCAGCCGCCGTGTGTCTCTGAACACTACGCACACGTGGTCTTTCTTAACCTTCTCTTTTCTCTTTCTTGCATCATGTTTGCTTACCTACTTCTCACGCTGCAATTGAATCGGTCCGTTGAAGTATAAATACATATTTATCATTTTGAGAGCAAAATGCTGCACTAATGAAGGATTGTGAAGGCTATTAATTTTATGAAGAAACCCATAATTAAGAGCTTTAAAAGTTAAATAGGGACGTAGATGGATGGTGAGCACAAATATTAAGACAGTGTGCTTGCTTGATAACTTCGGGAAGACTATTACAGAATGAGCTTATTAAATTCAAATAATAGTAAAAGGCAGAAAGTAGCAATCTAATTATATTATAATTCTAATCTCTGAAGAAATTTGAGGGTACTAGCGTTCCTCACACAGAACAGAATGTCTTTAAGAATTCTGTTTTTGGGGCACCTGGGGGGGGGGTCAGTTGTTGAGCATCTGCCTTTGACTCAGGTGGTGATCTTGGGTCCTGGGATTGAGTCCTGCATCAGGGAGCCTGCTTCTCCCTCTGCCTGTGTCTCTGCCTCTCTCTGTGTCTCTCATGAATAAATAAATAAAATCTTTTTTTTTAAAAAAAGAAGAAACATATTGCCAGAAACTTTGACCTGAATTATGTTCTACTGCACACCAGAAGATCAGGGTAACGTCCAAAGGGCTGGTTGACCAGGGGTGTTCATTAACCATTGCGGGGTGCTAGAGAGGAAGCCAGGGAGTGACCTGGCACCCACAGTGCTGAAGCCTTCTTATTAGCACTCAGGAAAATGTCAGCGTTTCAAGCTTGGAGACTCACACTTATAATAATAAAGTTGTAGTGACTTTTGTTTCTGGTGGAAGATATTACCATTTCTTCTTGGATTCCTGAAATTTGTTCTAGGCCAGTGATGGTTGATGTGGGCCCGGTTGTCCTCGGGGCCTGGGGCTCTGCTTATGGGGACATCAGTAGAGCCATGAGGGCAAGAGGGAATCCCAGGCCCAGGGAAGCCAGGCTCAGGGCACAGGCTGGCAGATGCCATCTGGTACCCACATTTTACAGCTGGGGAGGCCTCAATGGGAGGATCAAGGATGGCAAATGGCACCCCAAGATGTCAAGGCTGGAACTCTGAGCTGGGTTCTGGGCTCTATGAGGGCCACCTGGAGCCCGAGCTCACGCTCTGGCCCTGGGGCCCCAGGGAAGAGAACACGGCCTCTTTCTGCCACTTCTTGGGTCCTGTCTCCAACCATCCTTCATCTGGCCCAGCATTTGTTGTGAGCTCATTGTCTGAATCCACACAGACTCACCTCCGCACACTTGCCCAACTATGAGGGGACCCCGAGTTGGCTTTCCTGTGGGGGATTGCTCCGTCTGGGTCTGCAGCCCGAGTGTTCAAACGCACATCCTTTACCCCCTTCCCACCTGGTCCCCCTTCCTGACGTTTCGTATTAGGCCAGAGATGCTTCATATTCTGATACAGGCAGCTCCCTTCTGACCTCAATCCCATGGAAATCAGGACTGTGCTTTCTCAGGAAGAAACTTAGAGAAACACAGTAAGTCAACCAGGCAAATGGGAGGGGAATGGGTTTGGGTTCGGGGTTTACCCACTCCAGAGCGGGAAAGAGTTCCACGTGGAATCCACCTCTCAGGGCGTTTATTAGGACACATATCCAGGAGGTCTCTCCCCTGGAGCAGGCTCACAACAATTCTGGGGCCAGAAGTCCTTGCCTTAGAGCCCAGCTCTGCCCAGGGTCGTCCCAGGACCTCCACCCGCTTCTGACTCTGCTGGCACTGCATTCCTGATCTCATCTACTCTGTCTCTAAGCTCATTGTGGCGCCTCAAAGACCCACGGGCCCTTCTGTTTCATAGAATTCATCTCCTTAAAGCAGCTGTGGTTTCAAACCGCACCCCTCCCCTGCTATTCCAACACATATGTACACAAGTTCAGGGCTTGGGGTTTGTTTTACAATAAAAACATTTTATTGCAATTTTTTTTCAGCTAACAATGTATGAACATTTTGGAATTCATTATCTTGGATTTCTTTCTAATCCATGTAGGACTGCCTCATTCATCTGTAACACAGGAGTCTACTTTAGAGTCACCTAAAGTGTTATTATTGTAACATGTCACTATTTGTGAATATTTACATTGTTTATAATTCCCCCCAACCCACCCCCCAACATTGCTGTACTGAACAGGGCTTCGACAACAAAAGTCACAAGAACATTGGGTCTGCACTTGTTAAAACATTACAAAGCTGGAACAACCAGAACAGGCCTGTGCCATTGACAGGACAATGTAAGATAGGAAAATTGCAAGCCTAGAAACCCCCTAAGTATATCAGGGACTTTCTAGATCTTAAAAGTGGTATTTGAGACACATGGATGAAGAATGGGTGTTTAAGCAACTACTGGAAAAACACCCAGGCCACTCTCTTGGAGAAAACATAAAGGCAGCTCTTCTTGCATGTGTACGTTCCAAACCCATCACAATCTTACACAAAAAGCTCGCAACACACACACACACACACAAAACCCTAGGAAAAATATAAATTAGGACAAATGGAGTTTTGAAGTGGGAAAAGCCTTTGCAAATTTGACACCAACAGCAGAGCCAGCAAATCTACTCGAAATGCAGAGAAGTCTACATTGTGCAGGTCAACAAGTCTCATATACAAAATTAAAAGACAAACTACAAACTAGGGGGAAAACGTGCACCATTGATGAAAGGACACATGTAAACAGTTTTAAAAACTTAATTGGGAAAAGGTGAACACCCTTCCGCTCAAAAAATACGAATGCCCAAGAGATACAAAAATGCGTGCAAACTTTAGTTATTATTAGTTATCAAATAATGCAAATTAAAATGATTTAATGCCTTTTTTGCATATCAGAAAGGCACAGATTTTAAGAAGCCATAATCCTTAGTGTAGGCCCTGATATAGATCCGAAGCCAGTGGAGGTGGAAGCTGTAAGGTTTTTCTGGAGGGAGAACAGCAGGGTGATTCAGATCATAAGCCCAAAATGGTATAGGACTTTGATCGTTTTCCTTTGTTGAGCAGTTCTTTCCAACATTTCTGGAGTGTACATGGTTTCTGGACTCCCTTCCACTTCCGAACTTCTGCAGAACCCACCAGCCCGGACCCAGAAAGCACACCAGCGCAGCCAGCAGGCAGCAGGCACCCTGCCCTCTCAGGTTATAGCCTCCACCCAAGGCAGGGCCTGCAGTTCCTGCCTCCCCAGTCACCCACGAGCTCAGAACTGCTCTTCTCTTGCATACCCCCTACCACACCCATTGCTTGGAATGCCCATCGATGCTGCCGCTTTTGCCACCACGCCTGGAGCTGCAGGGCCTGCCACTAGCAGGCTGGTCCTGCACGGTATTCCTAAGCTTTCCCCCTCCCGGGTCCCGCCTGCAGGGGCGGGGGTGGGGGGTGCTCCTGCCTCCCTCCACACAGGGACTGCATTCTCCCCTGCAGGGCCAGGCCGCAGACCTAAGCCCTCGACATAACCAGACATGTCAGTGCCAGAACAAGCTCTGACAGAGATGCGACATCTCAGAAGGGGCTTAGCTTAGACCTCAAACTACCTCGGATAATAAATCAGCAAAAAACAAAACAAAACAAAACAAAAAAAAAAAACAAAACAAAACAAAAAAAAAAACAAAGAAGATGGTGGCAAAAGCAAGGAAAGCTGATAAAAACAAAACAAAACAAAGCAAATGAAAAAACCAGGGGCAAAAAGAATGAAATTAGAAAGCTCTAATACCCAAAATGAAGTCAACCTAAAATTAAGTTAACTTGAAAGAAAAAGGTGCATGTGTCTGTGTCTGTTGTCTGTGTGAGAGAGAGGGAGCCAGCGGGGAGAGGACAATCGATTGGCTGAAGGTCAAGTAAGAAGGTAGGAGGTCCACCGAGTTCCTGGCCTCCAGTGCTCCAACAGGGAAGCCACTCCTCAGCTTTGCAGAACGGAGTGTGGACAGGGACGGGGCTGGTGGGAGGGAAGGTCCCAGGGCTCTGGAGGGTGTCAGCACACCTCCTCAGGCCTACTGACATCCCAGGAGGGCAATGACAGATAGTCCTGCTGTTTGAGGGCTTTGAAGTGCCGGATGGCTGGCATCTGGGGAATGGCCTGGCACAGGGCCTTCTTGGCCTGGAACACCTGGTCATGGTCTTCAATCTTGGGACAGGGTCCAGGGGAAGAGGGCTTAGTCTGGGACGAGAGAGGGCCAGATCCCAGGCCAGGGAGGAAGCAGTAGTCACCCACCTGCTGCAGGACCAGGAGCCCCTCTGGGTGGGGGGAGGCGGGGGCCACCTCTGCTCTGGGCTCCCCTGGGCTCAGGATGGGGCTACTGGCTGTAGGAGGAGCGGGACTGACCAGAGGGGACTTGGGACACTGGTCTGGGGTTGGAGGGACATCCACATAGCCCTCAATTTCGGGCTTCCTGTGGCCTGGGGCTCCAGGGGGCCCACCAGCCACTCCAAGATTGAGGCTGTGGTTCTGGTCTGAGGGCAGGCCCAGAGGGAGAGCTTTGGGGAGAGATGGCAGCCCTGTGGGCAAGGGGAGTGCCAGGTCTGTAGTGGTGACATAGCCAGAGGCCAGAAAGCCATCCTCGGGGCCCCCACAGCCAGCGGGCAGAGCTGTGAGCACCCCGTCCTTTGGGCTGTGGCTGTTCTCTGGGCCTTGACTGCCTACCATCAGCCTGGGTACAGAGGGGGCCAGGCCTGCCCCTGACTCCAGGGAGGGGTTCCCCTCAGCCTCCGGGCCAGGGTTCCTCTCTGCCTCCTTGGCCTGGTGCTGTCTCATCACCTGGGCCAGCGGGACCAGCTGTACCTGCCCTCCCGCTGGCAGACACAGGTACTCCAGGGACCCTGAAGGCTGCGGCTTCTGGCTCCCGCCTGCCTGCGGGGGCGCCGGGGGGCCCATCAAGTCAGGCAGGGAGTGGCTGCGGGGCAGCCCCAGGTAGGGGCCGTTGAAGTCAAAGCCGGAAGCCTGGCTCTCGGGCCTGCCTGCGGCGGCGGCTGACCGGCCTGGCTGGGGCCCCGGGGCCTGCCCCGAGTACACGTCCGAGGTGGCCGGAGTTGTGTCAGGCTCACATGGCAACTCACAGGTGTCCTTCGGGTCTTCTGTGGTGAGAGGGGACACCTCGCTGTGCCTGTAGTTGACAGGGAACATCCTGCAGGGAGGACAGATGCAGAGACATTGGGGCCACTTATCATTTGAGGTTTTCCTCTGCCAGGTGTGGTTCCCCTCACCCCCTGCTCCCCAACATCCACCCAGGGCAGAGGCCTGGTCGATGCCCAGCCCGCGCATGCCCAGTCATGCCCTGGTCCCATCATCCCCTTCCCCCATGCCAGGAGCACCCCAGGGTGGAGTGTCCCTGGGCAGCAGGGCAGGGAGAGGGCACCTGCTCCAGCCTCCTGCCTCTGGTCACGTCCAAGGTATGGAATCAGGAAGTTCCTCCTGACATCCAGCTGGTATACCTCTTGATTGATTGATTGATTGATTTATTAATATTTTATTTATTTATCCATGAGAGACACAGAGAGAGAGGCAGACACAGGCAGAGGGAGAAGCAGGTTCCCCACCAAGCGGGGATCCCGATGTGGGACTCCATCCCAGGACCTCGGAATCGTGCCCTGAGCCATAGGCAGATGCTCAACCGCTGAGCCACCCAGGCATCCTGCCTCTTGCTTTAGAGCAGGCGACCTCCCTGGATCTCTCCATCCTGAGCCACAGGCCACAGGCCACCTCCTCAGCCTCCAGCACGCACGATGGGGCCACCCTCCCACCCCCCAGGGATGTGGTGCCCAGACACTCACCCGTCCAGCTCAGGGAAGTGGCTGCCCTGCAGCCCCTTGTGCGGGGGGCTCTTGCTGGCGAGTGCCAACATGGTGCCTGGGAGCCAGAGCCCAGCACTCCCATTCTGGGAAGAGAAGGGACATTTGTGCCATGAGTGTGTGGGTCTTTGAGGAGCTGAAGTGGGGGGAGGCTCCCAGGGGGTACCGCGAGCCCCCAGACATGGAAGGAGTCTCGGTCAGCCCCAGCCCCGGCCTCCTGGCACTGGGAAGGAGAGGCCCAGGGAGGGGCTGGTGGCTGTGGGCCCTTGAGCCCCTGAGCATGGGGACCCTCTTCTGGCAAGTCCACAAATCTGGGGTGTCACTGCCTCCACACCCCCAGTAGCAGCCACGAGACCCCTCCAGGGGCAAGCTGGCCCTGCCTGAGAGGCCCCTGGGACCCACGTGCCGACGCCCGCCTCGTGACCCCCTCGTGTGCCCAGCCTCGCTGCCTGCCCCCGTCAGTCCCCTTCACGAAGGGGTCCTGCGTCCACCCTCCACGGGCCTACCCACCCGGCACTACCCTGGATCCTCCAAAGCTCAGCCCCATTGTCCTGTCTTGCACCCGAAAAAGCCATTCTGCCTTGTGTCAGCCCACTGACCCTGCAGGACTGAGCCTCTCCCCGCCCCCCCCACCCGGACCTTGCGCCCCACTCCACCCCTGCTCCGCCGGAGCCCTGCAGGCAGGGCCAACCCTGTGCTGCTGCAGGTGCCCAGATGATGGCACAGCCGGATGTGCTGGTGCCGGCCTGCCTCTCAGAGCTTCCAGCCACCTTCCCGGGCCCCCTTCACCTCACACTCAAAGCCACAGGCCCGGGGGAGGACGTAGGGACGGGGACACGGGTGCAGGAGTGAGGACCCCCTCCCACCCCAGCCGCCTTCACAGCCAGATCCTACCTGGAACAGGTGGCTCTTGCTGGGGTTGGGGATTTTCTCCTCCCACTTCCGGTTCAGCCTAGAAAGACACCCGGGAGGTGACAGCTGCCAGCTGCCAGGGACCCCCGGGGAAGCTGCCCCACGCTCATGTTCACAGAGGAAACGGAGGCCCAGGGAGAAGACAAGATTTGTCTCCACAGGGAATGGGTGACGGAGCAGGGACTAAAGGGAGCCAGCTGGTGGGGTCTCTGGCAGCCCCTGGGGCCCTGGGTGCCCCCACCCCACACAGGGTCCCCTTACCTGTACCCATACATGCCGCAGAAGTGCAGGGCAGGGAACAAGGCCAGAGTGGTGATGACCAGGATGAGCACCAAGACCCACATGGGTAGCACTTTGGGAGGCCAGGAAGGAGAACAAGAGCGTTAGCCTCTGGGGGACAGAGCTGGAGGCTTGGGGGTGGGAGGAGGCAAGGCCAGGGCGGTGCCCCCCACCCTGCTCTACACAGCAGCCGTGCCTGGGGGTGCAGAGTGGGAGGGAAGGCCAGACACGCAAAGAACAGGGAACTGGTCCGCCCCTCAAACACAATGCTCAAGGGCTGGGAAGTGCGTGGAAATGCTGGAGTGCCGGGGAGCGGAGCCAACAGCCAAGCAAGAATTCTTGAGATGTCTTGAGATGTCTTCCATGCAAAAAAGTGTTTTTATTATAGCAGGGGGACTGGACCGAGGCCAGAAAGGGCCGCCCAGGGATTGTGAGCCGAGATTGGAGCTGGGGGAGGTAAAGGCTGCAGGTTTAGGGACTTGTCATTTTATCTACATTTCTTTTGCCTTTGTTCCCCCACCAGGAAGGAGGTTAGATTCTTTCCAGTAGCAGGAGGTGTTATGGGGATGGCAGGGGGCGGGGTAAGGACTGGAGCCCGTGGGAATCATGGGGGACTTCCTGTAGGAGGCAGCACATAAGCGAAAGCATCGGGAAACAGGGAGGTTTGGAGAGGTGGAGATGGGAAAAACTGTGCTGGTGGAGGAACAGAAGGTAAAGGCCCATTGGGAGCCCCAAACTGCAAGGCCCTCACAGGCTGGGCCCCTCCAGGATTCCCTTGATCTTTTCCCTTAGGCCTGGTGTCCAGCCCCCTTTTCCACTTGATGGTAGCCCTCTTCCTGGGACTCCTCCCCTGAAGGCTGCTGACACCTCCTCCATCCTCTCTCTGCCACTACCTCCTGGACCTAGTCTCATACTTGTCCCTCGGCAGCTGCTGGCGAACAGTGAGGGACCATGAAGCAGCGTGCAGGGAAATGGGGGAGATTCAGAAATCAGGGGGCCTGGAGGGCTTAGTCGCTTAAGCGTCTGACTCTTGATCTTGACTCCGGTCTTGATCTCACAGTTGTGAGAGTGTGGAGCCTACTTTATTTCTATTTTTTTAAAAAGATTTTATTTATTTATTCATAAGAGGCAGAGAGAGAGAGAGAGAGAGAGAGAGAGAGAGAGAGAGAGAGAGAGAGGCAGAGACACAGGCAGAGGGAGAAACAGGCTCCATGCAGGGAGCCTGATGCGGGACTCCATCCCAGGATCACGCCCTGGGCCAAAGGCAGGCACTAAACCGCCAAGCCACCCAGGGATCCCCTGGAGCCAACTTAAAAAAAAAAAAAAAAAAAGAGAAAGAAAAAGAAAAAGAAAGAAGAATCAGTAAGAAATGAGACCAAACCCTTCCAGTCTCAGGCCTCAGTCCATAGCTCCTGATGTTTGCTGCCACAGTCATTGTAACTGGAAATTCAGGCTGAGGGAGGTCACTAGATGAGGGCTGCCACAAAGGCTAGTGAAGCCATGGGCCATATTAATAGAGGACTAAGGTCCAGTCTGAGGGAGGAGTGACAGTGAGGACTGCTTTCTACTGCTCTCAAGACCTCACCTGCAGTCAGTGTTGCACACCAGGTGTCACTTTGCAGCAACTAGTGACACACTGAAGAAAGGATACTTGGGTGGGGTGGAGTCACATCACCCTTGTCCTCTGCCCAGATGGGCTGCACCAAGAATAGAGGGTAGAGGCTGGAAGACATACCCCAGTCGGTGTCCCAGAAGTGCTCCTCACTCCACTCGCTCCAGACGCCGTCGTAGCCCCTGGTGGGCTTGACCCTCACTCTTGCCTGGTACCTGGTCGAGGGCTCCAGTGGTGGCAGCGACATGCTGTGGGCGTTCTCAAGCTTCTCCGTCACGCTCTTCTGCGGGCGCAGGTGGGAGAGCAGGTGTGCTGAGGCTGAGGCAGGGGGTGTCCAGACCCAAACCTCTTCCGGCCCGCCCCCAGCCTCCTGGCTCCTCGGGGACACCTAGACCCCAATATGGCCTTCCCTGGAATGCTGTGCAGCATGACCGGGCTCCAGGGGCCTGCTCTTAGCTTCCCCCACCGGCCACGTGCCTCCTGGCTTCCGTCTGAAGGGCTGGGGCTGGCTCTCAGGTTTCTGACTTGGGTGGGAGGGAAGAGCCCCAGGTTCTGCCTGGAGGTGGGGGCCAGAGACTGAACCCCGGACTGGGGCCCTGTCTGCTTTATCAGCTCTGCTCTGAGCGGCTGCAGAGTCACATGCCAGATAAGACTCCTCTGAAGAAGAGGAGCCCGGGGCCTTTGCAACACCCTTCATCCAGCTGCCCCTCTGCCCTCTGAGCCCTGACGTCTACATGGTTCACAGTTCAGGGTCCCGTAGGTAATTTTGGCCGTGTCACATCACCTCTATGAGCTGTAGCAGCTTCTCCAAGGGAGGGGACAGTGACCAGCCAACCACACAGAGTCATGGCCACTAAGCCTCAGGGGTTTCCTCTGACTGGTCACCTGCTAGGAGCCAGGCACCTGGCAGGTTGGGGCTCTCCTGCGTGTTTCCCCACCCCACCCCAGTCAGGCCCCTTCCCAGGCATAGGCCCTCACCTCCCATGAGACTGTATCTTTCTTGTACTGGACCTGGAAGGTGTGACCTATGTGCTTATAAAACATCTCCTTTGCCATCCAGTGCAGGGTGTAGCCGTCTCTGTTCTTGGTCACATTGAGTGTCGGGCGAGCCATCTGGACTGGAGGGAGGGAAACCCTTAGGGAACAATGTTCTTAACATTCCTCCAACAGGACATTCTTTGCATTCCGTGTTCTTCATGGGTGCTCTCTCGACCCGGGCCCAGCCCATCTCAGGGTCCTTGCACCACCCCCCTTCCCTACACCATCCACTTTGACCTGAGCAGCCCCTTTCTGGGGAGATGCTGAGATACACTTGTTTTGCAGTGAGGTGACCCAAAGTGTGGGTTATTCCTAGCACTTGAGTAAAAATGAAAGCATTAATAATTGGTCCTATTCCAGAGGATTCACTGTGTCATGGACGCTGTCATACATGCTCGATCTGCATGAGTTCCTGCCCTTGATTCCAACAGCAACCCCTATGTGGTAGGTACTACTCACTGGTCACATTTCACAGACGGAGAAACTGAGCCCCTGAATGATTAAGTAACTTGCCAAGGACAAGTGGGAGAGAAAAAGATGACAACCCGGCAGATCCCCAGAGTGACTGGTGCATTCCAACTCGGGTGACCGAGACTGACTGTGGCCTCCTGCACACGCTGGAGACTGAGTAGAAGAGCCTGAGTCCCTGTGAAGCCACGCAGGAGGCTCCTCTGCATGGGGTCCTCGCTATGTTAAAAGAATTGGAGGTATGAACCTGCAAGGAACTACAATTTCTTTGCACACATTCTTCCCTCGATTTAAGAAGTCAGTCCTAGATCAGTTATTTTGAAGACTGCAAATATCCATCAGCAGAGGACTTTGGGAACCCAGGAGAGAAGAATCCAGTCAGGGAAGGAAAGGAAAAGTTTGGTGAGGGGGCCCAGGGGGCATGGTCGGCAGGGGGGCTGCAGAGCTGGACAGAAAAGCAGAGATAAGCCATGGGGAGGGGTGCAGGTGGCAGCAGGGACGGGGGGAGGAGGTCTTAAAGATGTGTTTCTGGGGATTATCAGTTGACTCTTCCTTCATATTATTTGCCATTGTCATTGTTGTATTGTTGCTTTTCGAGAACTTCAAGAAGAGATTAGAATGACTTTTGCTCTTTTTGCTCACTGGGCTGCATTTGGTTGAAAGCGACAAACATGAAGAGCCAGTCATAAGGGGTCCTGAGTCTATGTGGGTGACACATGCAATGGGTTCACCCACGCCGAAGGCTGGGGGGACAAACTCACTGTTTTCCGAGCTCTTGATGAACTTCTCTTCCTCCTTGGGCCGCACAGAGACGGTGTACTGGCTGTGGTGCCCGGGGTTGGGCACGGGAATCTGGCATCGGTGCAGGACAAAGAGGCTGGGGAGCTCCTCCTTCAGCACTGGGGAGCACTCTTCCTCCCTGCGGATCACGATCACGATCACAGCAGAGGTGAGGGTGAGGGAGGCACGGGAGGGATGTGCCCTCCAGCACTGGCTTCCTCTGAGGCCCCCCAGAGTCAGGGGGAGGCCTGGAGAGGGCAGGGTGGCAAGGAAGGGAGCGGAGGGGACGGGGCACTCACCCTGCACTGGGGCTGGGCTTGTAGAAGAGGGTGAAGGAGACTGAGCTGGTCACCTCAGACCACACCTCCCAGGAGCAGCTGAGCACGGCGGCCCCGTCGAAGAAGCACTGAACATTCTGGGGCTGGGCCTTGTCGCCTGGGAGGGGAGACAGCCCCTCATTCATCCCCTCCTTCATTCATCCCTTCACCTTTGGGGGGCCTACAAGCCTCATCTCAGAGCCATCATGGGCTTTAGCACCACAAAAACTCGGGCTCACCCCTAGCCTTCTGTGTGGCCGCACAGGTCGGAGAGCGAGTTCTGTGATCCATCACCCCCCCTCGGCAAGATGGGTACAGCATCTAGTTTCAATGTTGGGGGCCTCGACCTGGTGATGTCAGTTTGTTCCCTCTGGAAAACACAGCCGCTCAGAACGCTGCTGTCATTGTCACTGAAACTGTTCCTAGCCAGGAAGTGTGCAGAAGCTGGGGCCGTGCACTGAGTAAGGTGCCATCACCACCGCTGCTCCCCGGTCATGGCAGGGATGGAGTCGGCCCACGGCAGCTTGGTGGCATCCTGCTGGATGGGCCCCTGGACGCTTTCTGTCCAGGAGCTGAACGGGCTGCCCCCCTCAGAAGGGCATCGCTCTAGCTTTGCCTGTGTTACCTGTCTGCGAGTGCCAGCGGACCTCTGGGCTCCACTGGCTAGGCCGCCCCGAGAGCCCCGAGTTGGAGGCCAGATGGGTGCGCACTCGGGCCACATAGGTGCTGCTGGGAACGAGGTGCTCTGGCCCCAGGAAAGCCCGGGAGGAGTTGAGGTGGAGGGTGGAGGCCTCCTGCAGGGAGACAGGGGTTGGTGGAGCAGGTGGTGGCGAGGCTGGGCTCCTTGGCTTGGGTCAGAGCTGGCCGTGGTCCCTACCTCCCAGGAGTCCTGAAGCCGCTTGTAGGCCACCTCAAACTCCAGGTTGGACAGCCAGTGGCCCTGGGAACCTGGAAGGGCCACACTCCAGGTCAGCAGGAAGCGGTCCCCAGTAGTATCGATCAGGAGGTCCTTGGGTGCAGGAGCCTGTACTGGTGGAAGGGAGGGCAAGGGCCCATAAGGGGCTGGATGACTGTAGGGCGGCCTTTTTTTTTTTTTTTTTTTTTAAGATTTCATTTATCTATTCATGAGAGACAGAGAAAGGCAGAGACACAGGCAGAGGGAGAAGAAGGCTCCCCCTACGGGGAGCCCGATGCGGGACTCAATCCCAGGACCCCAGGATCAAGCCCTGAGGTGAAGGCAGATGCTCATCCACTGAGCCACCCAGGTGCCCTAGGGCGGCATTTTTATGTGTGTGTGCAAAGAGGCTCCAGGCCCAGCGCTGCCCCTACCAGCTGAGCTGTGGACAAGTCCTCTTTTTTCTGTGGACCTTGGGCCCCTTACCTGCAAAATTGTGGGGTTCACTGTGAATGTGAATGAAAGCCACGAACATATCACACAAACTCCATGGAAGTGCTGGCAAATAAGCTCCCCATGGAGCCCCCTGCCCCCATCTGCCCCCACCTGCCCTCACCTGCCCCCACCTGCCCTCACCTGCCTCACCTGCCCCACCTGCCCCTCCTGCGCCATCTGCCCCCTGCCTGCACCTGCCCCACCTGCCCCTCCTGCCCTCACCTGCCCCCACCTGCCCCCTCCTGCACCCACCTGCCCTGTCACCTGCCCCTCTTGCCCCACCTGCCCCCACCTGCTCCCACCTGCCCCCACCTGCCCCCACATGCCCTCACCTGCCCCCACCTGCTCCCTCCTGCCCCCTTCTGCCCTCACCTGCCCTCGCCTGCCCCCACCTGCCCCCTCCTGCCCTGTCATCTGCCCCTACTTGCCCCTTCCTGCCCCCTTCTGCCCTCACCTGCCCCACCTGCCCCCATCTGCCCCCTCCTGCCCCCACCTGCTCCCATCTGCCCTCACCTGCCCCTACCTGCCCCTGCCTGCCCCCACCTGCCCCCTTCTGCCTCCACCTGCCCCCACCTGCCCCCTCCTGCCCCCTTCTGCCCTCACCTGCCCCCCGCCCCCTGCCCCCACCTGCCCCCACCTGCCCTGTCCTGCCTCCACCTGCCCCCACCTGCCCCCTTCTGCCCCCTTCTGCCCTCATCTGCCCCCACCTGCTCCCATCTGCCCTCACCTGCCCCTACCTGCCCCTGCCTGCCCCCACCTGCCCCCTTCTGCCTCCACCTGCCCCCACCTGCCCCCTCCTGCCCCCTTCTGCCCTCACCTGCCCCCGCCTGCCCCCACCTGTCCCCACCTGCCCCCTCCTGTCCCCAAGGCTCACCGTGAGGCCCGTGTGGTCCCCCCTCCCAGCAGAGGGCGCTGTGGACCACGTAACTGGCCCTCACCTTGTCCACTCTCCCCTACCACCTGCCCGGGGTCCTGCTCCTCTCAGAGCCCAGCATAAATGTCTCCTCCTCCAGTACCTTCTGGGACCCCCTCCCCTGGGCAGGATCCCTCACTCCTTTCCTGTCCCGCTGCACGGTCCTTACAACCCTGGCACACTCACGCGTTTCTGTTTCTGCCCCTGCAAGTAGTCAGGAGCTCGTGGGTGGCAGGGTGTGGGTCTTGGTAGCCCTTTCCTATCCCCGTGGCCTGAGACGAGTGGTTCAGCAGTTCGGGGGACAAAGTGAGTGAATGATCAATGACTACATGAACATGTGGGCAACCTGCAGAGACTTTCCAAGAAACCCTTCGGTCAACGAACAGCACGCTTCTCTCTGCTGGGCCAGCATGTTACTCATCCATGAATGGCATGGCTCCCGCCTTCCTGAAGCTTCTGTGTCTGAATGCTGAGGGGTGACTTTCTTTTTTTTTAAATTTTTTTAAATTTTTATTTATTTATGATAGTCACAGAGAGAGAGAGAGAGGCAGAGACACAGGCAGAGGGAGAAGCAGGCTCCATGCACCGGGAGCCCGATGTGGGATTCTATCCTGGGTCTCCAGGATCGCGCCCTGGGCCAAAGGCAGGCGCCAAACCGCTGCGCCACCCAGGGATCCCCTGAGGGGTGACTTTCAAACACAAAAAATCCAATGAGTCCAAACAAGATGTAAGTGCTCCACGCTGGACTCAGAGCATGGCATGTCAGAGCTGGAGCCTCTGGAGAGCCGTAAGCCTGGAATGGCAGACACAGGGCACCCCCTCTTCTATCTCCCTGCCCCCGCAGCCTCAGCAGCCTCCCTCGTCAGTCCCTGCATGCCCAGCCCCCCGAGCCTGGCAGGGAGGGGGACTCCCTCTCAGCATGGGCCTCTGGATGCTGCTACCCAAAACTGAACCGACCGGGAACCCAAGCAAAAACCTATTCATCCAACCTGAGAGATTTCAGCCCCTAGCTCATCTCACAGGTGGAGACCCTGAGAGGGGAAGCAAAATGTCCCATACGTCCCCGTGTGGAGGCCTCCAAGCAGGTCAGATGCACACCTGTGCTCCGCCCGGCACCGCCAGCCTCCCCGATTCATTGCCAAGATGGTTGGGGCTGGAACTGTCCTCCCTGCTGGACATACACTTCAAGAGGCAAACACCACACTCCCTCCCTCACTTTTCTTTTTTCTTTTTAAAAAGATTTTATGTATTTATGTGTGAGAGAGAGAGAGAGAGAGAGAGAGCGCACAAGCAAGGGAAGCTGCAGAAGAAGAGGGAGAAACAGACGCCGGGCTGAGCAGGGAGCCCGATGCGGGACTCAATCCCAGGACCCTGGGATCATGACCTGAGCTGAAGGCAGATGCCTAACCGACTGAACCACCCAGGTGCCCCCCTCCCCCATTTCTAAGTTGTTTCCATCTCCACCATGATGCCTGCCCTGTGACCAAGCCACCAGCTTCGCGGGGACAGGGATGCTGACTGGCTCATGCACTGCTTTGTTGGCGCAGGTGGGCGCTCAACCAGAGAAGAGGTCAACGGACGAAGTGTGTGTACACCGTCGCTGTGGTCTGGATGCCCCCCTGCTGCCTTCCCCTGACCATATTCCAGTGGAATCCTCATCATTTCTCCTTGGGATGAGTGCCGTAGGCTGCGTTCTGGGCCCCGGCCTCCTGCCGCGTCCTGTCCCCTGCGGTCTAGCCTGTGCGTCGCCCGCGCAGCATCCTCACATGCGATCGCGGCATGCCCCTTCGACGGCGCTGCACCGCGTACATGTTGGCTTCCACACCCCTTCGCGAGGCACAGAGGCGTCTCCAGGTCGCGCTCCTGCCTGTGCTCCCCCTCTCCTTCCTCCCACTGCCCAGCCCTTCTGAAGTGGATGCTCCTGGGATACAACGGTGGATGGTTTTCCCAGTCTGCCTTGCCCTCCATCTCCCAGCCTCTGCGTGTGCTGTTTTCTCTACCAGGGATGTTCCTCTTCCTCTGTCCTCCCACCCACTCTCTTCAGCTCTCCTTGCAAAGCCCCTTCCTCTGGGAAGCCTGTCCTGCCCCCCAGGCTCCTTGCCCACTGCCCCTCAGCAGGTGGCACATGGCATCCACCTGTGGTTCACCCTCTGCTCTTTCCTGCCCCTCCGCGTGCTCTGAGCCCTTCCAGGCTGGGACTCTTTCTCATCCATCAAACGCACTTTGAGACACTGTTTGACATGAATTCACCGTGGCCTCATCCATCCCCTCCTCCGGGCAACAGCTTTGTGCTGCTGTGTTGAAAACAGGCAGGAAGCAAAGGCCAGAACCCCCTCTCCATCCAATGACTGCGGGTGCAGTGGGGCTGCCCAGTGTTTGGGACCCAGGAGACTAAGTCAGATACATGCATCTGAGTGGCCTTGGGCAAGTTCCTGCTCTCTCAGCTCCATTTCATTTTCAGTGAAATGGGGTAAAAAAAAAAAAAAGTAGTGCATGACACTGCATTATTGTAATGATTAAATAAGACTGGGTAGGGTTTCCTAAAAGCCAGGCATCTATAGGATTCTTACCACATGAATTTCAACTTTAAAAGATGTTCCCTCAAACATCTCTATTTTAGGTTCATTCTGAGCACAGATATAATTGAATTACGGAGATTGAAGTGCTGGTTATATTTCTGTGTAATATACAGTCAAATGAAGCCTAACTATTTACATAAAATGATCATTAGCACTGACCCAAGACCACTGATTTTTGGGACTGCTGTGGACACACTCGCTGGGAGCCTCCCAGGGAGGGCAGTAAGGTGACGACCCGCATCTCTAACATGCAGGAAGCACTCAGCAGACCTGACCTGTCACTGTCACTACTGCTGAGAGGTGGAACTTTGGAGAAGTAATAGAACTTCATCTAAAAATGGGTTATTACAGGGGACGCCTGGGTGGCTCAGTGGTGGAGCGTCTGCCTTCGGCCCAGGTCGTGATCCCGGGGTCCTGGGATTGAGTCCCACGTCAGGCTCCCTGCATGGAGCCTGCTTCTCCCTCTGCCTGTGTCTCTGCCTCTCTCTCTCTCTCTCTGTGTGTGTCTCTCATGAATAAGTAAATAAAAATCTTTAAAAAATAAATAAAAATCGGTTATTGCAGACACTGAATGGACTAGATTGGTGATGAGTGCTTTCAAGCTGTAAGGTTTCTACCTGAATAGGAAGGATGGTTCTAGAAGGAAAGGCTTCATTGCTCTGGGTGTTGGAGCGCCCAGGGCCAGGGGAGGTGCCTCACATTGGGGCTCCTCACATTGTCTCTCCAATGCCTCTGTCATAGGAAGACCATACCGTCTTCTCTTAAGAGACTAAACCCACCTCCAAGCCAGCATCTCCGCCTCTTGAGGACTCACACTTTGGCCCTTCTGTAGTCTGGCCACCCATGGAAGGGCCACTCCCATCCGGGGACCCCAGGCCTTACCATGCTGGGTCAGAGTAATGGTGAGCTGGGTCCCCAGAGGCCTGTCCGGTCGGAATGAGAAGTAGTCTTTGTCAGCAATAACAAAAATCTCGTAGGGAATGACACATCTTCTGGGCACACAGCCAGGACAAGGGTGGCTTAACAGGGCCATGTCATTACTGAGGTCACAGGACACTGGCTTTGGAGGGTCCCTGCCAGGAGAGAACACAGTTTCACAGTGAGGGAGAATCTCTCATTCAACAAATGTCACTGTGTGGTCACTCTGTGCGGGGCTCTGTCCAGGGCTGGGGCACTGCCATCCTGGTGGAGGGGGACACATCTGAACTAACTGAATAAAATATGTCATGTGTCAAACAGAGCAAACTTTACATAGACAAATACAGCAGGGAAGGCTGATAAGGAAGCCAGAAGGGCTGGGGTGGGGTTGCAATTTCAAATGGAGGAGACAGGGAAAAGGACTCATGGAAAAGGTGACTTTAGGGCAGAAACTCGAAGGAAGTGAGGGAGGGAGCCATGCAAATTCCGGAAAATGGGGAGTTCTGGTAACAGGAAGAGCAGGAGCAAAGGCCCTGGGGCAGGCACAGGCTTGGGGTGTTGTCTGATGAGGCTGTTTCCCAGTGTGCATGGAGTGGAGTCTGTGCAGGTGGGAGGCAGAGGAGACCAGTAGCTCAAGGCAACAGGTAGCAGCGTTTAAAAGGAATTTAAGGAATTTGGTTGTCTCGGCAAGTGGAGTTACTAGGAAGGGAGTGCCATATGGTGAAGTATGCTTTGAAAGGCTTCCTCTGGCTGCTGGGCTGTGGATAGAATGAGTTGGGGGGAGGGTGGTAGTCTTGGAAACTGGGAGACCGAGGCTTCTGGAATATCCAAATGAGAGGAAGTGGTTTGCACTAGGGTGGTGATGTTAGCCCTGGCCATATTCACATTTTGTTTGAAGATGAAGTCGAAGCATTTGCTGATGGATTAGAGGCAGCGGTGGGGAAGGACAGGTGTAAAGCAAGTAAAAGAATATACCTCCCAGTCATTGGATGGGAGCTTCTAGGAGCTCCCATTCAGAGCAGTGGGATGTGGGGATGAGCAGCGCGGTGTCTGGGGGCAGGAATTTCGTTTAGAACATGGGAGTGGAAGACCCCTTTCTCTAAGGACCTGTGGAGAGACAGGTGCACCCCGGGCCTGGAGCTGGGGGGTGGCGGGGCTGGCGAGCCTGAGAGTCACCAGGGTGCAGCCTCGGGCTAGGTGGGGTCTCTGCCACTGGATCAGAAGGTAAAAGAGCAGAGACCCAAGGATGAATGCCTCCCCCCACCCCAGTCCCTGCCCCGAGCATCTCACCCTCTCACACTTGGGGTTGGAGACAAAAGAAGGGAGGGAGCAAACAGGGAGAAGAGAAGGTGAGGGTGGGGAAGACACAAGGAGGGGGTGAGTGCGGAGGCTGGAGATGAAGGTGCTTCACGAGGATGCAGTGGTCGGTCCATGGCAGGTGCTGCCCACGGTCAAGGAGGGAAGGACATAGACATGGCCAACAAGCACCTGAGAAAATGCTCCGCATCACTGGCCATCAGGGAAATACAAATCAAAACCACAATGAGATACCACCTCACCCCAGTGAGAATGGGAAAAATTAACAAGACAGGAAGCAACAAATGTTGGAGAGGATGCGGAGAAAGGGGAACCCTCTTGCACTGTTGGTGGGAATGTGACCTGGCGCAGCCACTGGGGAAAACTGTGTGGAGGTTCCTCAAAGAGTTAAAAATAGATCTGCCCTGCGACCCAGCAATTGCACTGTTGGGGATTTACCCCAAAGATACAGATGCAGTGAAACGCCGGGACACTTGCACCCCGATGTTTATAGCAGCAATGTCCACAACAGCCAGACTGTGGAGGGAGCTTTGGTGTCCACGAAAGATGATGAGTAAAGAAGCTGTGGTCTATGTATACAATGGGATATTACTCAGCCATTAGAAACGATGAACATTCACTGTTTGCTTCAATGTGGCTGGAACTGAGGGAAATTATGCTGAGGGAAATAAGTCAATTGGAGAAGGACAATCATATGGTCTCATTCATTCGGGGAATATAAAAAATAGTGAAAGGGATTAAAGGGGAAAGGAGAGAAAATGAGTGGGAAATACCAGTGAGGGAGACAAAACAGGAGAGACTCCTGACTCTGGGAAACAAACAAGGGGTAGTGGAAGGGGAGGTGGGCAGGGGGATGGAGTGACTGGGTGACGGGAACTGAGGGGGACACTTGACGGGATGAGCACTGGGTGCTATACTATATGTTGGCAAATCAAACTCCAATAAAAAATATATACAAAACAAAACAAAAAAACAAAACAAAACAAAACAATAAAAAAGGAGGGAGGAGGCGGAGAGTGAGCATTGGATTTAGCAGCAGGGAGGGCTTGGGTCTTGGGCAGGAGGAGGCCTGGTGGGGCCCACAGAAGCCCCCCGGGGGGGCAGGTTCAGAATACTGGAAAGACCCGAGATGCAGTGGGTCTAGACCACTCCTTGGAGGAGGGTCACCTTAGAGGGAGGCAGAGGACAGGGCCCACTGGAGGGGAAGGGGGTGAGGAGGCACCCCAGAGCTGCAGCCGTTGCTGGCATGTGTAAGTGGGGGGCCAGGGCACGTTTGCTCAGGGATTGGAATGAGCCCCTGTCGGTGGCACAGGGACACTGGGGCCCATGGTGGCAGCCAGAGCGAGTGGGATCCCAGGGGGTAGCTGCAGACAGGTGTGGGATAGGAACTCGCTGCGGGGCGCACCGGGGAGGTGCCAGACAGAGAGGCAGGCGGTGTGAGCACAGAGCATGGAGGGAGCCAGAGCCTGTCTTTTGGGGGCGCATGTCTCAGTGCAGGAGGAGGCACGTCACAGCCGGCAGTGGGGGGAGGTGGGGGTGGCAGGGGAGTGTGGAGACAGAAGCTGGGGGCTTCCAGGAGCATGGAAGAGAGAGCTGAGGGCGCTGCTCTGGGCCGTGAGGAGCTGCTCCTCCCCAGGGCTGGCCTCCCGCGGGGTCCCCCTGCACCTGCAACACCAGCCATTTAATTAATTACTCCTATTCTGATGAGTTGGACTGTCACCAGACCCCAGGATGGTGCGAAGAATCTTCCCAAACGGCCATATACCCCAGAGACCCCATGAGGGAAGAGGAGAAAACCCACCCTCTGGAGGCAGCAGGGCCTGGGGAAGGCGTGGAGACCAGCCCTGCACCAGACACGGGGCACTGGTCCCCACTCAGTGCCCTGAGGCCAGGAGAGGGACCTCACCTCCATGGCCTTGGCTTGCACTTCTGGGAAACAGGCACCATACCCCTGCCCGCCCACCTCGCAGGCAATTCTGTTCCACGGTGATGAAATAAGATTATCACCGGCTGGCCCTTCTGCCCACGGCCGGCATCACTCACTCATTCAGCCTCCGGTAGAGCGTCAGGTTGATGAGCTGCTGGGCCTCCTGAGTGCTAGCCCACCTGCAGGTGATGTGGCTCCTGTAGTCATTGTAGCAGCTCAGAGTCTGCAGTGGGGTGGTCACTGCCCAGGGAGAGGCAGAAAGGGGGTCACATCTCTCCCCTCCAGATGTCCCTTGTCACCACCCCTCCCGGGCCCTCTGGGGTGCCCAGGGCTGGGTAGTGGTTTCCCAGAGGCCTGAAGCAGCTCCTAGCTGCTAGACAGAGCTCCCTGGTGGCCCTGAGGGGGCCGGAGGCTCTGCGGGGTCCTGGCTGCAGACCCTCCTGAGTGCAGAGAAACACAAAGATCTAGTCGAGGCACAGCATGTTTCCTGAGCCCCTGCTGTGCCCTGCTCCGGCACAGAGTCTCCCTCCCACCCCAGGAGGGATACATGCATCCAGTTCGGGCCCTATCCCGGAAGCCCTTGGGACCCTGGGAGGAGAGGCACAAGGCCACCCCTAAGAGGCAGCATGACCAAGTCCTGTGGGACCTCCCTGCCACAGGCCTTATAATTGGGGAAGGAAATGTGGTTCTCAGGGTGATCAGAGAAGCCATGTTCTCTGGGAGCCCTTGGGGAGGGGGTTCTTGGGCCTGAGGAGCTGCAGTAGCATCCCAGCAGGGCCTCTGGGCAGGAGGAGGGTGTGGGGCCAAAGCAGGGAGAGATCACCAGTCTGAGGGCCCCAGGGACAAAGGCACCAAGGAGGGAACTGGTCAAGTCGCCAGAGGGGCAGAGTGTCTGGGGTGGGGTGGGGGCACAGATAGGGCTGGACCGGCCAGCCTAGAGGTGAGAGGCCACAAATGCGAGGAGAAGTGTGAGCAGAGAAGCCACACAAGCACAGATGGACTTTCAGGAGGCTGGAGAAGAATGAGGATCCAGGAGGGGGAGTGAGGTGTCAGAAAGGATCAGAAAAGGAGAAAGTGAGGCGGGGAGGGAGGGGTCTAAGGGCTTCCTAGAGGACATGTGGGCGTGGACTTACTTAAGAACACCCCGTGAGGAAGGGCTGGGAAGAGAGAGGAAGCCACGGGCTCACCTTGGGCCCCTGCCTTGCTGGGCCCCCAGAACAGAGTCAGCAAGATGACGGGGAGCAGCCGTTGGGTCAGGACCATCTCTGGGTCAGCTCTGGACCAGCAGGTGGCTGGCTCAGGGGTGTCCAGGGCTGAGCAGGGGCTGGGGTTTTCACTGGCCTGGAATCTTCTATTCTTCCCCAGCTGGAGGCCAGGCCAGACCCATGCCCCCGGCTCCTGTGAGTCCTCTCTCCAGGACTCCCCCTGCAGAAGAGACACCAGCTAAGAGCTGCCCCCTCCCATCCTGTAGCCCCTGGACATGGCTCATGTTGCAGAGTGAAGCCAGGGATGATGCATGGGCTCTAGGACCCCTGCCGCCTCGGCCTGGCACCCAGGATAGTCCCTTCCCCTCAGCTTCAGTGCCTAGGGCAAAACTGTGAGGAAGATGCATTTAATGGCTTCTGAAGAAGTGGGTACCCACAGGTTGTGCATCAGGAACTCCTGCGCAATCCCCTGGTGCTGGGAAAACCTGAGAGGCAGCCCTGGTATTTGATTTGTTCTGAGCTCTCTGTGGGCCCCTGACCTGATCTGCTTAGGGCAATCACAGAGTGTGAGACCCATAGTGTCCTCCCCTGGGTGTGATCACACACATCCTCACGCTGTGTGCACACACACTCAGGGCCGGGTGCTGTCCCGCCCTCACTCCATTTACTGTCATCCCTCCCACACCACCCTCAGAATGCCCGTTCCCTTTTCTCTGCAGAAGGCTGGGGATTTCCTCTTTTCATTTTGTCTAGCCCTGGGAAGTACCCAGGAGTATAGAACAGGGGACAGTGGTTCCTTTTCTCCCTGTAAGATTGTCTAAAACTTCAAGATGCACATATGTACACAAAGCAACAACTGTTTTACTTGGAAAAACACAGCTCTGGACGCAGCCAACTTGACCTTCAGCACAGCCTCTGCCTCTCCCATGTGAGCACCCTGGGTTGACCCACCAATGCTCCCTGAACCTTGTTCTCTCCATCAGTAACATGAGCACAAATACACGTATCTCACATGAGAAGAACCTAACTCGATGATGTTTATAGAGTGGTTAGTCCAATAAAAACTTAGGAAAGGGGCACGTGGGGAGGGTAGCTCAATGGGATAAGCATCTAACTTCAGCTCAGGGCATGATCTCAGGGTCCTGGGATCCAGTCCCAAGTCAAGCCCCGAGTTGGCTTCAGTGGGCAGGTCTGCTTCTCTTTCTCCCTCTGCCCCTCTCCACTCCTTGTGCATGTTCTCTCTCTCTCAGATAAATAAATATGATCTCAAAAAAACCCACAAGGCTCAGGAAAGAGGAGTAGGTTTGTTTGGAGCTGGAGGAGGAGAGTATTCGTCCACTTGAGCTCCTACAGATGGGGGCAATACCACGGGGTAGGGGTGTGAGTCCATGTGGCTGGCACAGCTTAGTCTGCCTACCTGGGACTAGCTAAAAATCTGGAGCTTCTATTTGGGTTTTACCACAAGTAGAAATACTGCATGTGTAAGGAGAGCGATTCATCCTAAAATAAGTTAGAGGTTTAACACAATTCCAAACAAAATTTAACACAATGATTTTTTTTTTCAGAAACTCAGGAAAAAAATATATGTGCAAACAGCTAATGAGATTTATCAAAAAACAAGGAGGCCCCCCCTCAATAGCAAAATTTATTATGAAGATCTGGTAAGTAAAGCAACGTGTTGCACCCACACGATAGATCAATGGACATACTGACCAGGTAACTCTATTCTACCCAAGGATGTATCACATAGTGGAGGTTTCATGAATCAATGAGAAGGAATGGAATATGAAAAGTGCTAAGACACTCAAACAACTAGATCCACCTAAATCTCTACTCCATACCATCCCCAAATACCAGATTAATGACAAATTTAAATATAAGAAGTTAAATCATATTAAATTTGCACACCATGTGGCAGATAGCCAGTGAGCTGTCCCCTTTCTCCTTGGTAAAAGAAGCTCAGGTTTCAGCTGGGCTTGGTGCCACACAGAATAAAAGATTACATTTCCTACACTCTTCTATTGCTAGGTGTGGTCCTGTCACTAACTGTTGTCTATGGAGATGTGAGTGGAAATGTTGGGTGTGCCTTCCAGAAAAGGCTTCTTAAAGGGAGTTGGCTCAGGTCAGAAGGTCCATGTTGGCCCTCCTGCCTCTCCTGCTTCTTCCAGCCTACAACTTGAAAGTGATGGCTGGAGCTTCAGAAGCTGTTTTGGAATATAAGGTTACCTTGAGGATGGAGCCATATGCAATAGAAAGAGCGAAGCCTGGATCTCTCTTGTCTCTTTGGAGCAAACATACCAGGCTGAGAGTGCCTACCTCTGGACATGTTTTATGTGAGAAAAAAAAAGACTTCCACATTGTTGAACCACTGTTGTTTGGGGACCAAACAGATTTAACTGGAAATAGAAGGAAACTTCACAGGGCTTTAAGGAGATGACAGTCCACTAAGTGAAGGACAAACCTCATTTTTAATAGTGCCATACTCAGTCACATGCTGGTAAACTTTTGGTCATCCAAGAATAAAAGGGTAATCCTAGAAGCTTCCAGAAGGAAACAAACACTATTTTCAATGGAATAAGGATCAGTTGGCAAGATTTTCTTACAAGTGACCTGAACTCTAGAGAGTGATATCCTGAAAACACTGAGGGAAAATATATTTAAACCTAGAATCATTAAAGAGTCAAGGTTACATTGGCACTTGAGGGCAGAAAAACACAACATTTTGGAGATGTAAGGGCAAAGAAAGTTTTCAGATCGTTGTCGAGAAACGCAATTACTCTAGACTGTATTCAAGGAAAAAAATTGTCCAAGAAAGGTGGTGTGTGATACTGGAATTAGTGATGAGAAAAGGAACCAATAAGACTTATACTAAGTAAAGAATTGTTACTTATAAAGTGGAAATTCCCCATCACTATATTCAAGTAAAACGTAGATGATCCTAATGAGAGTTGGCTGTGAGATTAGAGGTAGGAAGCAGAGAACTGAAAGGCTGTTGAGTTAAAGATCCATGTCTCATTTGGAGGGGTATATATATGTTAAGTACACCCAAAAGCTGTAGGAAAATATACATTAAATGCATGTGTTAAAAATGTAAGGGTTAAAGACCTCAAAGAGTGAGAGATAAGCATGGGAGCAGAAGACTGATGGGGGAAAGACAGGAAAAGGAGAGAGAAGGAGAAAAGAGAAGAGAAAAAGCATACACCCTTTCACTCAAAAGAAATACGCACACCAAAATTCCCAAATTCATGAAGAAATTTAACAGTAGGAATAAAAACTGGAAATGAAAAAAAAAAAACAAAACAAAACAGAAGCAAGACACGAATTCATTTCAGACAAAAAGAATGTCATAGGACAATCTGACAAAGACTTTTAAAAGAAGACTGCCTCAGGGCCACATAGGGATTATTCCAGAAACAGATGAAGAGCCATTAAGAAATCTCTTCATGATTAAAGGAAGCAGACCAACAGATTAAGAGGGTAAAAAAGATCAACTTCTCTTGACAGATGCTTCTCAGTATTTGATAATACAAACGCCATTCCCAATTAAATAAACCACCAGATGAACCTTGGCAAAGGAGGCATCGAAAGGAACATCGGTGTTTTGGGGGTAGCGACTGCAAAGCTGTAGTCATGTCAGAGTCAGAGGAAAGTGTTCATATCCTTCCAGTTAGCGGCACAAGCAGGAAGGCTGCCCATTATTGCCATTTCCAGAGGTCAGGCCTCCCCCACATAATCTCTAAATTCAGTGCAGTCTAAACCAGAACTCCAAAAAGATTTTTAATCTTTGGCATGACAAACTGATTCTAGATTATAACAAACCAAACACGAGAGATGGTTTCTATGAGCCAGTAAAATAATGAGAAATATAATCGTAGACAGATGGGTTAGGAAACTGGGAAATAACCAAGCAGGAATTTGAGAAGTAAAAGCGGCATTTCTAATCACAGAGGAAATGATGAACTATGTACTCATAATTACAATGTTGAGATAATTAGCTGATCTTTTTTTCAAAGTTAGATTATTTACGTATTACCCACCCCTCCAAATTCTAACACTCTTATATGAAACAAGTTATCTTAAACATGGTAAAGAAAAGAGCTAAGTGATACTCTGGAAACATATATTTAACCAATGTAAATACAGTATTAATACACCTAATAAATGAGCCATTCCTACAGTAAATATGTAAAAGGCAAGGAACTCATAAGAAATGGACAAAACATCTCCATACCTATCATAAAAGGAACCCAGATGGCCAGTGAACATATGGAAAATGCATAACGTCACCCATAATCAAGGAAAGGAAAAAAAATCCATGCAAGAATCAGATAATTTTCATCCATTGGACACAGTTTAAAGACTGATCATCTCCTTAAAGAGGAATTGGCCTTTTATCCAAGTCAGCTACTTTGAGGATGAACTGACAACATTTATTAAGTTTTTAAACACACAGTCTCTTGCCAGTAATTCTGCTTCCAGGCATCCAGGCTGCAAAAGAAACACTTTTGCAGGTGTGGAAAAATTGGAAACAACCTAAATGTGGGATCAATATGGGATCGGGTAACTGTGGTGTACCCCTACTAATAAATGCTGCCTATTTCTTAGGGTCAATAAATGAGTTAAATCTATATGTGTTAGTGTGCAACGTTGTCCAAAATGTAATATTGGGTGAGAAAAATAAGTCATAGAGCGATACGTATATTGTAATCCCATTTACATACAGAGGAAGACTGCATTCCTTGCAGTGTGCTCAGAGAATGTTTTGGAGAGTAGGATGTGGGACCAGGGGGTAGAGACAGCTGGCATGTTGTCTTTTGTGTTACATAACTCTGGGTCATTCTGACTGTTGGATAATGCAGATACCCATGTATTCACTTAGTATTAAACACCTCATTTAACAACTCATGAGCTATCCTATAGTATCGGTGGGTATGGCGCAACACGAGAAAAACTGGCGAATGAGAAAAAGAGCAAGCAAAAGCTACCAGAAAAGGTTTCACTCCCTATAAAACTATTTGAAAGCAGGAAAAATGAGAAGTAGAGAAAATCAGAACCCAGTGATACAAAATTACTACAGGGTCTTTGAAGCCTAACCACATACCTTTGCAACTTGTCACCGGGGTGTCTGAGGAGGCCCCACAGGCTCAGACCCCGGTGTGGATCATGGGAACACCTGCGCCCCCCCCCCCCCCAGAAGGCAAATGCAGGCACCTGTGCACACCCTGAGGCAGCTACCCGGAGACATCTCCCACCTCCCACCCCGCACCTGGCCGGCTAGCACACCAAGGCCTAAACCCCACAAAGCAACAGAGGCTCAAGGTGGAGGATTCTATGGCAAAACAAAACAAAACAAAACAAAACAAAAACTTTTTTCCAGGGGGAGAAATAGTTCCTGTGCAGGGGACCAGACCCTTTCTTCGAAACTTCCAAAGTGAGCTTCCAAAGCCACACCAAGCTCTGTGTTGGCACATGACAAAGCTCCAGGTTACCCCCTCCACCTCCCAGTCTCCCTGCACCCCTGTTTCCCCAAGGGCACCCACACCCTCAAGCGCACACATGCCGTCGCTCTCCCGCTGTCTCTTTCTAAACCAGCGTGTCAGGGACTGTCAGCACTCTTCCTGTCCGGGGACCAGGAGGCAGAAACCAGGGGCAGGGGAAGGATGTTCCCAACATCTTGGTGACACTTCAGTGGCCAAGACAAGACAGTCTCAGGTGTCTGACTCCCGGACCTGACTCTCCACCTCCCCTGGCATCCACCCTGCTGCCAGGACAGTTGGCCCCCAGCCCTAACAGCCCTTCACACGACACGCAAGCAAGGTGGGGGCGCTGGCTGTCCCCTCGCCCACTGGCTCCCAGCCTTCCCGAGAGGCCCAGCCCTAACCTCCCCAAGTCCCGGGGCACACCGGCCCACTCCACACCCCCAGGCTCTCCTTGTCCTGGCTTCCCAGCCCCGGGCTCCCTGCTCCCCAGCACCCCCTGGAGCCCACCCCTGAAAGCCATAAGGTACCTCTGCACCTCTTGCTGCTGGGACGGATCAGCCTTCTGCTGGATTGTCCAGGCGACAGGGAGCCTCTCACGCTTCCTATTTATGCTGACGTCGTTGTTAGGAAACAGAGAAGCAGAAAGAGGAAGCGACACCAGGCCAGGCCGGTTTCTGTGACTCCTCACAAGATTGCCCAGCTTCTTAGAATTGTGGACACCAAGATACCTTTTTTTTTTTTCTCAGCCTTACTGACTTTGCAAATGTTGTTCCTTCTGCCAGAAGCACTGCTCCCTGTACACACACTCCTACGCATCCTCCGTCGGCTCAGTGTGAAGTTGCTTCATGCAGCCCTCCCTGCCGCCCCAAGGGGATGCAGGAGGAGTTGGCGGCAGTAGCCAGAGCAAGGGACAGTCCAGAGCCAGACAGCGCTGGGGGGCTCCCACCCCTACACCTGCTCAGAGTGTGACCTTGGGCAGATGGCTGGCGTGTGGCTCCATGGGGTCTCAGGACCCCCACCTGTTACTCGTTACAAGCAGCTGCAGTCACGGAAGGGCTGTTGAGAGAATCAAATGAGATGCTGCATGAGATGCTCAGAGTCAGGCATACAATAGCCCCCAAGCATTAGCCCATGTGACTGTGATTGCCCTGATGTCCTTCTGTCTTGCACCCCCATCCTGTCCCAAAGTCCTCAACGCGCATGGCTGTCTTTCTCCAACAGTCTTGTGTGTGGCTCACTTTTCCATCACCCAGCACACCCAGGCCTGGTACAGAGGGGGCTCCTAGCCACGGGTGTGGAATAAATGAGTGAATGACTCCTGAGCACTGCAGGGGTGGGGCTGAGGCAAAGTGAGTGAGACACATCCTTGGGCCAAAGACGTAAGGGGGCCCAAACACCCCAACGCTCAGTAATTAGGATAAATAATATTTTCGTGTGATAGTGTAAACAATAACACAACAAAAAATCCGCAGCAAACAAAGTATGGAATGTTAAATAAAGACACACTCAGTAACAGCGCTACGTGAACCGTAGTGGGGTCTGGGGCAGAAGGAAAAAGCAGGGCCATTTCTCTCTAGCAGAGACATTTGGAGGAGGCTTCCCAGGGAAGAGGGTATGGTGGCAGGGGCGGGGATGAGGGACCAGGGGCTGGGACCCTGTCACAAAGTCATTGGACTCCTGGCCTTCCTCCTGCCAGGAGTGGCTTGGAATGTCCCACGGGGGGCTGGAGGGTGAGGGGTGCATGGGGAGGGGTGGAAATGCCCATGCTGGAGGGTGGAGTGGTACCTGCAGGACCTGGGTCCTCCCAGTCTCTTGCTGGTGTGACATCTCCTGGTGGGGAGAGGTCCCACAGGGATGTGTCCAGGGCTAGAGAGGAGGGAGGTGAAGTAATGACCCAGGCCTTTCTTCTCTGGGCCTGGTCACCCAGAGCCTAGCTGGGAGGAGAGCGGCCCTCCAGGGGGCCAGGGTGGGGCAGTGTCCCCCTGCCCGGTGGGAGCAATGGGGCCAGAGGAGGCCCACGTGTGGCTGCTGGGCTCTCCAGCCGTGGGGGTTTCTGCTTTCTGCTGCTGGGGAGCTTGGGAAGCTCCATCCTATGGCCTTGAGTGAAGGTGAGAACCCCCCCTTGCCCACCAAGAGAGGGCAGGAACCCACACTGGTGAGGAGTCCGGCTCCAGGTTGACAACCTGTGTGTGACTTCTAGGCCCCTTGGGCGTAGGCGATTGCAAAGCCTTCCCAGGCGGGCCTGTGGGGGAAGCTGCCCTCCCACACCAGATCCGGGGCGCACTGTGCCTTCTCTGAGGGCACCTCTGAAGGAGGTGCGGCCCCTGGAGGGTCATGCTCTTTCACATATTTGCATCGGACGCCTCTAGCCGAGGTCTTCTTCAGGAGGGGCACCTGGGAGACACTTTCCACACTCTGACTCAGGACCCCGTTCTTTCCCCTTCAAACCCTCGCCCTTGCCCTCACCCCCAAAACTCAGGCTCTGTAAAATGGAGCCTTTTGTTCTGGCTCCCTGAAACGTAAGAGGATCCACACACCCTCTACTTCATTCTAGGGAAGCAGAGGAAAGGGGAGTCGGCGCTTTCTCTGGGGGTACAGCCTGGCTTATTCCATCCATGAAGGATTAGGCTTACCCTTACCTCTTTCCCTGGCGCTTGTGGCTGTAACGGCTACTCTGGCACCTGGGCCGAGCTCCTGATAGTGGATCACACCCCTTCCTCGGTAGGGCCAAGTGCCCCCAGCCTCGGGCTCCCTGTGTGGTGAGCACGGACAGCGCATGTGACCAGAGCTCAGCAGTGAGGTGGTCTGAATACAGAGCATCAGAATTTAACAGTCTTCAACTTTTGTTTATTTTTATTTATTTATTTTTAAAGGTTTTATTTATTTATTCATGAGAGAGAGAGAGAGGCAGAGACGCAGGCAGAGGGAGAAGCAGGCTCCATGCAGGGAGCCCGACGCGGGACTCGATCCCGAGACCCCAGGATCACGCCCTGAGCCAAAGGCAGATGCTCAACCACTGAACCACCCAGGCATCCCTAAGTTTTCAACTTTTAAAAATAAAGTCGTCAATGATATAAAAACAAAGAAGCAACAATGAGCAATCAATAGAACAAGAAGAGCTTGATCATGTTCTTGAGGGGGTGCCTCTGATGTGGCGGTAAGATCCCACAAGGGGAGGTGGGGCGCATGGTTACTCAGCAGGGTTCTGACCACAGGGGTGGACAATGCAAGGATCCTACCAAGTTCCCTGGAATCTTGCTTTTCTCAGCTCTGGGATTCTTGGAAAACTGTCTTGCATGCCATGGAGGCTAGCTCATCTCCTCCTGGGACTTAGGAAGTTTTGCTTATATGATTTTTAAAAATTGTCTATTGTATTTGCATTTAACATAGTTCCCCCTCCCCCTGCTTATACTCCCTCTCTCTAAAAAAACAAAAACAAAAACAAAAAAACCCCAAAACTTTAGGGTGCCTGGGTGGCTCGGTCGATTAAGTGTCCCGACTCCTGATTTCACCACAGGTCATGATCTCAGGGTTGTGAGATCGAGCCCCACATCAAACTCTGTGCTGGGCGTAAAGCCTGCTTGAGATTCTGTCTCAAGACCTCTCCCCCCACACACAAATAATTTCAACTTCTATACCCTAAAGTGCACCAGTCCTAAGTGTAGGGTGCAGTGCATATCTATAAATCCATACACTCACATAACCGCCACTAGATTAAATGTAGAACATTCCCAGGTGCCAGAAGGCCCCTTGGTGCCCCCTCCCCATCACCGCCTCTCAAAGGTCACCAACGCTCTGATTTCTCTCACTGTAAATTTGTGGTGCCTACTTTTTTTATTTTTTACAATTGTAAACTGTATATAACACAAATTTTGTAATTTTTACTACTTTTAAGTGCACAATTCAGCGGCATCGAGTTCATTCACGCTGTCGTGTGACCATTAACCACCAACCGCCTCCAGAAGCTGCTGGTCCTCTCACACTGGAAGTCTGTCCCCGTGAAACCATAACTCCCCATTCCCCCATCCTGCCCACCCTTGGTGACCATCATTCTACTTTCTGCCTTTATGACTGTGACTGTCCTTGGTGCTACACTAAGTACAGTTGTACAATATGTGTCCGGTCATGACTGGCTTATTTCACTTACTGTAATGTCTTCATGGTTCATTCACATTGTGGCATGAGTCAGAATTTCTTTCTTCTTTAGGCTGAATAATATTCCACGGTACAGCCAAACCACATTTTGTTTATCTATTCATGTGTTGGTGGCCCTTTGGGTTGTTCAGGTATTGTGAACAATGCCGCTGTGAACTTGAGCTCCAGTCTCTGCTTTCAATTCTTTTGAGAACATACCCAGAAGTGGAACTGCTGATCATATGGTACCTTTTTTTTTTCAATAGCACTGTGATGAACATCTCAGTGTATCATCCCTAATGAATTTTTGGTGTCACTTTTTTCTTCTCAAAGATTTTCTTTATTTATTTGAGTGGGAGAGAGAGAGAGAGCACACACATGAGGGAGGTGGAGAGACAGAGGGAGAAGCAGACTCCTCAATGGAGCAGGGAGCCTAATGCAGGGCTCTACCCCAGGACCCTGAGACCATGACCCAAGCCCAAGTCAGACACAACCAACTAAGCCACCAAGGCATCCTCATATGGTACTTCTGTTGATTTCTATAAAAAAATTATTTATTTATTCATGAGAGACACACAGAGAGAGGCAGAGACACAGGCAGAGAGAGAAAGAGGCCCCCTCCCAGGACCCCGGGCAGATGCTCAACCACTGAGCCACCCAGGTGCCCCTGGTACTTCTGTTTAAATATGTAGAATTGTTGAATCATTAGATTGTACGCCTGAAGCTAATGTAACCCTATATGTTAATTATACTGGGATTAAAAAAATTAAGTAAAAAAAATTAAGTAAAGTAGGTCTCTCAATAAATATGAAACATTCTACATGAGGAACCACGTTGGCAGTTTAACTGGGCATGTTTTTACTTCCCTCGTGGCATTTCAAAACAAAAATGTGTCTTATACTTGGTGACATCTAGATTCTCTAGAACAAGGTACAATACTGACAAGGACATAACACGAATCATGACCACGGCCCGCGCATTTTCACCATGTGGCCGGACAGTGGACCCCCTGCTTCACCCCCACAATTTCTTCCGTGCCTGACAACATCCTTCAAGTCGCCAGGATTATCTTCCTACTACAGATGAAATTGAAGCATCAAAAGTGAAGTAACCTGTCACAAGGGATATGGCCAGTCTACAGCAACATTGCATTATTATTTTCTTTATACTTTAATTCCAAAACAATTTCAAAATACAGAAAGTTGTTAAGGGCAGCACAAAGAACCTCAATACACCCTTTGTGTGAAAGCCTCACTGCCTTTTATAACGAAGGGTCCAACCCAGGGCCGCACACCGTGTGTAGACGTCACACCTCTCCAGATGCCTTTAGCCGGGACCAGTGGCCCCTCTTCCCTTGACCTCTGTGAAGTCTGCACGCCAGCCATTTTTGCAGAAATTCCCCCTGTTTAGGTTGGTCTGGTGTTTCCTTAGGTTTGGATTTTTGGTCAGGATAACACAGAAGTGATGCCGGAATTCCTCTCAGGACTTCCTGTCAGATGTCAAGCTCATTTGTCCGGTTACTGGTG